CAGGGTGATATCCTTAGAAAACATATTTTATGGGTTTTGTAATCAGAAATGGAAAATATCTATTTCTCACATTAAAGAACCCAGTAGAAACTGAGGGAGTATTTTTTAGGGGGTGCAGAGGAGTATATATTTATCATGGCTGATTTTGCATCCCTCAGAGCAGTGTTGGGCATCTTTGCAAGAGTCTTCTCTCAACACATTGGTCCAGATGCTTAAATCAGCCATCATTGCTCAAATGATTTATTCGGGTGAAACACCTCAGAATAACTGCAATCTGAAACCTCTTCTAGAAATGATGAAAGAAGTGTACAAGGTAAGTGTGAATCTAAAGGAATGTATATACCTTCTTACTAAATACAAATCTTGTAGTTCTCAGCCAATTGGAGTCGTGTTCTGTTATGTTTTTCACAATAGAAAGAATATTTTATTCAGCCTTAATAATTCAAAATTTTGCCTGTTTCGCTAATTGGATAGACTCTGGAGGAATATATTACATATTACATATAATATATTAGATGCACAAACACTACTCAAATATGAGAGTGGTTTAGCATTTTCATTAGTGTGCACAGCATAATCTAGAAGTAACCTAAGGTTAGGCTACTAACAATCTTAATATTGTTAGGGGACAGGAGAGGAGCCAGAGCATTTTCAATAAAACAAGAGAATTCAGTTGATATCATTCCATTAAAAATTAGCTAAAATAAGATGCTTTTACAAATAAATTGCTAAATGGTAATCAGAGCAAAGTTCACCATAAAATAACAATCTCAATAGGAGAAAATATTACACACAGGGTTAATGCTTTTCAGAAGTACTATTAGAGCACTACTAGAGGCCCGGTGCACGAAATTCGTGCATGGGGGGAGGGGTGTCCCCACAGCCCAGCCTGCACCCTCTCCAATCTGGGACCTCTTGGGGGATGTCCAGCTGCCAGTGCCTAAACCGGCAGTCAGACATCCCTTTCACAATCGGGACTGCTGGCTCCCAACTGCTAGCCTGCCTGCCTGCCTGATTGCCCCTAACCGCTTCTGCCTGCAAGCCTGCT